CGTCTCTCGTCGCCGCCGCCTCCTCAATACCGATGAATTTGTCTCATCATAAAGACGTCGGCTGCGCGGGGATAGCTGGCCAGGAGCTAGCTGGAGGCTAACGGCGGCGACACCGTCGGCGCGTCACGTGAGGGCACCAACACAAGTGTCTTCGCCTCACTCGGGAGGCGATGCTGGTGAATGTTAATTGCTGCAGAAGGTTTTAGAGGTCCAGATGTGTACTGCTGCAGTCTTTGTCTCCAATATGTCAAGTACAATCACTGTTGACATATTTTCAACATACTGGTACCCACATAGACTTGCGCAAAAATTCGTAGGGGGAGCAAACCCTCCTTCGGGGTTTTTCCACTTATCGCCGCAGGGTCCCGGGCCCCGTTAACCGCGATAAGTCAGGGATCGCTGTACAGCATTTGAAATGTACACTCCACAATTTGCTTGATTTTCACGTTAGCTTTTCTGAAATCGAGAGAAAATCGATAGGAAGGCACCAGTTTCGCGTCTAAACCAAAAGTCCACTTTGAGCCCCCCCTACCTGATAGTCGGTGGCGCCGTCCCACAGCTGCGCGCTGAGCTGGCGACCTCCGAACCAGCGTCCGTGAAAGGACAGGATGCAGGCGTCGGCGTGCTCCTGCTCCTTGAAGGCCACCGAAGCCACGCCGTCCGGATGCCTCTGCCCGGCCACAACGGCGGCCGTCACGCACGTCGCCGTGTCAAAGGGCCAATTGCAAGGCGGCGGCGGCGGCCACTCACGTCGAACAGGATGACCTTCTTGACCTCGCCGAACTTCTCGCACTCCGAGCGCAGGTCGTCGCGGTATTCGTTCAAAACCAGAGGGTCCTCCTGAAGAAGCGCCCGCGCAACATTTTACTTGACATGTGGGTCTATGTCGTCTCGCGTGTCTTTGTATGCGACGAAGCGGTCCGCATGTCCGCACAGGTTTGCGTGCACAAGTTGCTTTGTTTGCTCGGATTCACGCTGGCGGCATATTTCCATCGCGTCGTAGACACGCGCACGGGATGCGCGTGTGCGTGCGTACCTCAAAGTCGCTGGGATGAAACATGTTCCTGATGACGACGACCTTCTCGTGTCGCTTCCTGGCGTCTCCCTGCTTTTCGGGTCTCCAGTCCAACTGTCTGCTTGGACATTCACACGTCAGCATCACAAGACTGCGCGCACGCGCACACGCAGCGTGCCTACTTTTGCTGCTGCTTCATCTTCTTGCGGTAGTCCTTGTTCTTCTTCTTCTTCTTGCTGGCGTCATATTGCCCTTTGAGTTCGAAGCGAGCCGCCTCCACGTGCACTTTGTAGCCTCTGACCTCCGACTCGTCCATAAGGCGAACAGCCAACTCCACTGACTCCCTCTGAACGTAAACGAGTTCGGCCTGAGCTCAGTGTGTGCTTGTTCAAATGAAAGGAAATTTGAGATTGAGATATATATATAAAAAGTATTTCCATCGAACAAAACCAAAAACAGCTCGACAGCAGCCAACTGTATTGCAGCAAAGTATCTCCTGTCTCCACTCCTCTCTGAGCTCATCGGTACGGCACTCATAGTTATTCGACGCCAAGGATCAAGATTGCAGGACTGCGAGTGTTGTTCTACCAATAGACGGGTTTTGCGCAACCATTTGTGTTCGCTTCATTGCGTAAATGTTAAGGCGCTGCAACACGGACTTTGCATTAGCATTAAGCTAGCAGGGCCTTGCCTCAGACAGTTTTTGAGTTGTTTGAAATGCACACGCTGTCCAGTCGTGTTCATTTTACACTAAACTTAAGATGAGCAGCCAAAAAAAAAAAACGGCTTCAAGTAAGAATCGAATTGCTGATTATTTAGACGAGGCCAAACAATTGACCGACAACGAATCAATTATCAATTCCATTCATGAAGAGTCAACTTCACTGCTGCCATAAGGCACCCGTCTCTCTCACGTCCATTAAAAAAACAAAACAAAACCATTTTAATGGCCAAATGAGAACTCCTATCTTGAAATGTGTCTGAAGGCGCTACCGTACAGGTCACGGTGAGCCAAAGGGGGAGGACAAGAAAGAGCCCCGTTGGAGGGCGGGGCTGGCGGAACCTTGAGGTAGCAGCAGAGGCCGTCTCCTTTCAGGTTGCCGTCTTGGTCCTTGTACAGTTTGACCTTGAAGTCTTCAGTGATGGGGTCTCTCATGACGATGCCGCACTTGGACATCAGCGCCACAAACTCTTCGGGGCTCGTGTCGGGGGGCAGGCCTGCAAGCGCGCGGCGACCGATCAGAGCAGCGGAAAGGAGTCGAGCACGCGCGGAGGCATGCTACTCACCGGACACGTAGACGTTGGTGTTCTTGGTGTCCTCCATGTCAAACCAGCCTGAAACACAGCTCGGACCATACGTCATCGTCGTCGTCACAGCACGGTAAGCTAGTGGCGAGCGCCTCAATTCAAACGGCTTCAAACGTGATAGCACCGAAGCTAGTCGTCAGCCCGTTAATGGCATTCCCTGTGAGCGCTAAGCTTGAGAAATTCAAGGCCTCCGCACCGTTTTGCATTCTACGCGCTTCTTTGACTCAAGATCAAGGGCGAGCGGTCCGGGCCGCCGCCAAAATCCCGCCGCCGCCCATGTCCCTGGCCCTTACCCGGATCCGCTTTCCTCTTCTCCCCTTTGCGCTTGCCGTCCGCGGCCGCGCTCGTTGGCTGCTCCGAGCTCAGATCCGATCCCGGCTCCTGCGGCGTCTTCTCCCCGACCGCCGGCCGCTTCTCGGCTTCCGCGGCGAGCGGCTTCGCCGCGGCGCCGGCGTCCGCGTCGCCTTCCTGAGCGAAGCCGTAGTTGGCCTGGTAGGCCGCCATGAAGTCCTCCGTGATCTGCACGCAACCGCGAGGCGATCAATGCGGGCGCGGTGCGGCACGCCGCCGCCGGGGTGCGGCCGTACCTTGGGGAACCAGGCCTTCTTGTCGTGGTCCCAGTCGTACACGGTGCCGTCGCGGGGGTCCGTGTACGTGAACGGATCCGAAGCCTCTTGGCCTCTCCTGCTGTACTGCTCCTGAAGGCGCAGCTGCTCTTCAAATTCTTTGTTGGCCTCGCCACTCATCTGCGCCCATAACGTCGTCATCAATCAACAGCAACACGGTGAAGAGTCGTAGCTAACGTTTCTTTCAGTTAAAGCATCAATCAATTTGTCAGGTTTTCTTTTTATGATGAGTCAATGAATCGGATGCTTCCTTTCTATCCCCTTTCCTGAAAAAACAAGACAGCATTTCAAATTAACAGTGCCCCAATTTTTTTTTTTTTTTTTTTTTAAATGCACAAACCTAAACCGATAAGAACTGACTGAGTTTGTGCTTTGGTCAGAATATTAGCAAAAGTGCTGATCGTTGTGGTTTTCAAAGCATCTGTAGATCTTTGCAAATGTCCTTCCTTCCATCCATCCATATCCTGATCCGCTTTTCCTCACAAGGGTGCCGGTTTCCATCCATCCATGCATATCCTGATCCGCTTTTCCTCACAAGGGTGCCGGGGACACGCTCAACTGGTTGCCAGACAATCGCAGGGTGTACAAGTAACCTGCCACGCATGTTTTTGGAAGGAAACCCACGCAGGAGCGGGAGAACCCACGCAGGAAGGCCGGAGCCGGAATCGAACCATGCACCTCTGCACTGTGAGCCCGACGCGCTAAGCATTTCCATCCATCCATGCATATCCTGATCCGCTTTTCCTCACAAGGGTGCCGGGGACACGCTCAACTGGTTGCCAGACAATCGCAGGGTGTACAAGTAACCTGCCACGCATGTCTTTGGAAGGAAACCCACGCAGGAAGGCCGGAGCCGGAATCGAACCCATGCACCTCTGCACTGTGAGCCCGACGCGCTAAGCAGTCGATCACCGGGCCGTCCCTTTGCAAATGTGAAAATCAGCCTCCCTCCATGGAGGACCACTGTGTGACCGGATGCAATAACATCCTTGTAAACGAATTCCATCTAAATGTGCAGCATCCTCACTCGAGTGTATGAAGTGTTTAATTGTTTGCGACTTTTTTTTCTCCTCCGTGCACCGTGGGAAGGCTTCGTTTCACGAGCCTTGCTTTTGCCCTTTCATTGTAACCCGCATATTTGTAGGATGATTTGTTTTGCCACACGCAAACCCGTTTTACTGTCACTACTTGACTACAAATTGTAATAATACCGACAGACGTTGAGTGTACGGGTGCAGATTGAAAGCGGAGTGCAGTTGGCTGCGCGTGTCAACAAATGTTGGGAGTTATTTTGGTGCGCGGAGGTGTTTGCTATTTTGAACCGCACACGCGCACTCGATGCTAAGCTAGCATCACTGAGCTCGCCTTACTTTTCTGCGGCGTCGGGCGTCCGAACGGCGACGGAAAACTGCAGACGTGGGCGCAACGGGCCCCTAACTCGCCGACATTCTTTTGCACGCCGGCGTTTTCGTTGGAACTTCTTGAGGACAAAGGCGCTGCGCTAGCGTTCGACAAGACGCTCGATTCGCGGTGAGGCTTAAACAAGTACTTCCGGCTCGGAGTCCGTTCGCGCATGCGTGTCTATTCGACAAGGACCGCTCCATTTGGGGCGCTCGCTCGCAGCTCCTTTGCTTGCGCCAACAGCGAAACGGTCACTCTGGACCAGCACTCCGCCCGCTCGTTTGGTTCCGGGAAACGAAGCGACCGTCCACGCGGAAGTCTCCCAATCAGGCTCGTTAGCCCGCGAGGGAAGCAGGCCGCTTGCTGGCTAGTAGCTAGCATTGCTAGCTTCCTCGACTTTTGAGCGCGAGCTGCTGTCCGCGCTGCAAGTTGGCGGAAGATGGCGGACAGCGGCGGCGGCGGCGGCGCTGCCGGCAGCAGCCTGGACCCGGCCAGCCTGCCCCCAGGGGACCCGCAGCTCATCGCCATGATCGTGGAGCACCTGAAGAACCGCGGACTGTTCGACGAGTTCCGCCGAGACTGCCTGGCGGACGTTGACACCAAAGTAGCCCGCTCATGCCAACTTGCTCACAAAGTCAAATTTCTTCACTTTGGTTCCTCTCCACCATTATTTCTGTTCATCACTCGTAGCATAACTTTATGCACAAAAACAAACACACACACACACTCTCTCTTCTATCTATCTAGCTTCCTCTCTTCATACATTTCATTATTCCCACTCTTATCGCGATCTGTTTCATATATTGTTTTTACAAGAGCGTATTGCTCCCACATCAGGGAAAAAAGTTCAATAGGACGTTATGCTGTGATGAAACGGTTCACATGATACAGTTTTACATTGCAAGTTGAACTCGAACAAAAGCAAGCAATTCCTTCCTGCTGGGTCGAACCAAGCAAAGGTACAAGTTAACTGCACTGCTCTTCTACAATCCTGTCCACATGAAGGCCGGACCTTGAAAAAAGACTGCGTATTTCCAAAGAACACATCGGGCTCTGCCACGCACCGGAACCAGAAGGAATTGCAGAGTCACACTTTTCACGGTTCGGCATGATAACATTTAAAGCAGTCAAAGTGTAACTTGTGTTCTAATGGGACCCAGAACTTTTTCTGGTGTGCTTCCATACAAAGGAGCAAATGAATGATGCAATTTTGAAGTAGAAATGCATTCCTCCATTTTGGGGGGGGGGGGCATTTCGTTTAGGCCAAAATGGCCACATAGACGCCATAAGGGTGGTGAAATCCAACCAGGCTCTGTTTCACAATCCTGTTGTCATTTTCTCTCCGCTTGCAGCCCGCCTACCAGAACCTCCGCCAGAAGGTGGACAACTTTGTGACGTCGCACCTGAGCACTCAGGAGTGGAAGCCGTCCATCAACAAGAACCAGATGAGGAACGGACTCAGACAAAGCGTGGTCCAGTAAGTCGCCACCACCGGCGCCGCATGTGCACGTGCGTTTGCTGACGTCGGTTGCGGTTTGTGTGTGGAGGTCGGGCATGTTGGAGTCGGGGGTGGACCGGATCATCACTCAAGTGGTGGACCCCAAAATGAACCACACCTTTCGGCCGCACATCGAGACGGCCATCCACGACTTTCTGTCGGCAGACAAGAAGGACGACGACGCCGGAGCCTTGGAGCAGTCGCAACCCTCCGAGGGACCCAAAACCCCTTAAAAGAGACCCCCCCCCCCACCCCCACTTGTATTAATTTATTCTTGCAAGAATTCGTTGTAATCCAAACATGCTATTATTGCAGTCATGGAATGAGACGTGAGCCAAATAACGCATCCATCCAAATTGCGCAGCGAAAAGAACGTCACAAGTACCCCGGGGAACGTTGGCAGCTTCGCGTGAGCCAACCGGGAACACGGCCTTGTGGACTTGATGACGGGGGACCACTCACTTCGCACCCTGATAAATTCTGGGAGCAGTGGGGGTGGGGGCGAGCTGTGCGACAGCCTCAGCATCGCCTGTACCCGCGACAGCGACCGCGCTGCCAGCCCTGCGCCGACCGCAGCTGGAAAAATTGACGCCTGACAACGTCAGCCATCATCAATAAGACTTTTGTGTGTTTGTCGCAAAAGGAACAGCTAGCTGACAAGCTCCTCACACTTTGAGTGATGTTTCAAGATGAACCTCATGGAGTTATGAGTTAAATTGCCGCTCGACTAAATTTGTCCTCGTGTAAACATGTTCAAAAGGTGAGCGTTTCACCGTTTCAAGATGAACCTCATGGAGTTAAAGTTGAGTTAAATTGCCGCTCGACTAAATTTACCCTCGTGTAAACATGTTCAAAAGGTGAGCGTTTCACGATTTCATCTGTGTCCGTGCGGTCAATTTTGCTTTTCAGTTCCTTGTCGTGTAAGAAGTACAGAAACAAACAGGTGAGCGTTCAACAGGTCAAAGTAAGACCTGTCAGGGTTCATCCTGAAATTTGACCTCGAAACCCAACATCACAAACTTTTGAATTGGTGTCGTGTGGCTCTGGAGTTATTTTATTTCTGCAGTGTGTGACGTACGACTTGGGACCGATCCTTTTCATTTTGCTTGTCACCTGCACCACCTGCTGGAGGGGAGAGGAAGTGCGCCTTACTTTTATTATAACTACCTGTTTCAAATTTTTTTATGCTTCGATCAAATGTCCTGTGGTTGTGTATGTGAGCATGGAATGTGTTTCTTTGAGCATTTTAATAAGATACTACAAAAAAGGAGTTCGTTTTGCGTGTGTTGAATTTGATGAGACCGAAAACTTCAGTGGGAACCCAAAGAGGCCTCATCTCCCGGCATTTCAAATGGCGGCTTAGCAGTTGAACGTGACCTTTTAGTCACTTCTACACAGTGGTCCACTGTGTCAAAAAGTCTCCATGGCGAGGAAGGTGTGGCTGATGAATTTTAGTGGCGGGAGCGAACGAAGCAGACTTTCTGAGGGCAAGGCGGGTTCAAAGGTCACACAGGTAAAAACCCGGTCAAAAGAAAAACCTGATAAATGTAACTTTTCGGAAGTTTACGCCTCCGTGTGGCCTGGCCCTCGTATACTTGTACAACGATGATAAGGTTAATCAAGAAAATGGACCGGTAGCCATTGTCGGTGATAGATGAGCGGCACGCGCCGGCGTCGCTGTGACGTCACGGTGACGTTATCGCGTCGTCGGCGCCGAGCGGGCCAGAAAAGCCGGTGCGGCGGCCTCGCGGCGTTGTGCGTGCGCGGGAAGAGCGTGTGCGTGCACGTGCGCGCGCGGAAGATGCTGAACATGTGGAAGGTTCGAGAGCTGGTGGACAAAGCGTAAGTAAAGCAGCGGCCCGCTAACAAGCTAAGCTATACTGAAGCCGGCTCGCGGCCGTGACGTCACGGCCGCCCGGAGACGCTCAGCCGTTAGCCGCCCGCTAAATGTCGAGCCGCCATCCTCCCGTAGCCCACTTGGGAAGAAGGAAACGCCTTTCGAGGCAGGCGCGACGCGAAAGAATTGGCTCAGCTAGCTTGGAATGGTGTCGTTCCTCGCCCAGACCCCCTCCCCCATCGCCCCGTCGCGAATGAGGTGCGGGCTAATGGCCGGCCGGCGACGTGCGGGCGGCTGGAGCGTCGCGCGCTCGAGCCGCGCAGTTTCGAGCCCCTCCGTCGCGCGCAGGGGAGGCTGTTGCTCGCCGCCCGGCGCACAAAGACATCCTCCACCAAAACGCACCGGGAGCCAAAGTGACCACGTTCCGACCGAGCCAAATCACGTTGCAGGTGTGTCAAAATGGCAATTGGGAGGAGGAAACGTGGAGTTCGGCAGACGGGCACTTTTCGGACTTGGCAAATCGAACTCCTGATGCCTCTATCCAGACTTGCTGCGAGGTGGTGAAAGGGCTCAACAAAGATGGATGAACCCCGCCAGTGAGATCATGTGACATCGTCGGCGCCTGCTCTGGAGAAGCGCAGCACATAAAGCCACATTGTGGTGTAAATACGCGACCGACGCACAGTCGAGGGCTCGAAAATAGTCAGCATGGGCAAATCGTGCGCCACCTACACTCATGCTGAGATCAAACAAGTCATCCCATCTGAACCAAACACAATCGAACATGTCCTCCTCCTACTAATAATGCAAGGTCGAGTCCCATCCTGTGTTGTGATTGCTTGTGTCGCGAGTTACGTGTCATCTGTGCCTTGTAAATCTCGATTTCGACGTGGGAGAGGAAGGAGTGACGCTTGTGTGCTGATGATCCTGCGTGTGTGTGTGTAGGACCAACGTGGTGATGAACTACTCCGACGTCGAGTCCAAGGTGAGAGAGGCCACCAACGACGACCCCTGGGGGCCGTCTGGCCAGCTGATGGGAGAAATCGCCAAGTACGTGCAACACTCACACGCTGAGTTGGGCCGCCTCCGCCTTTGCTTAGCCGACGGCGTGTGTGTGAGCGCGCGCGCAGGTCCACCTTCATGTACGAGCAGTTCCCCGAGGTGATGAACATGCTGTGGAGCAGGATGCTGAAAGACAACAAGAAGAACTGGAGGCGCGTCTACAAGGTGAGTGCAAAAGAGGATGCGATTTTTTTTCCAGGCCAAAACTGGTTTCCTCCGCTTTGCGCTCGATTGAAAAATGCTCACCTTGCCGCAGTTGGTTCGTTTTTGGGGGATTCCCCCCCCCCGTGCAGAAATCGCCCGGTGTAGTTGTTGTGTCGCCGCGGCCCAGCAAAGTCCCAACCCCGC